ATCTGGCCCCCGAGCCTTGAATTTGACACACCTGGTGTAGATAATTAGGCTGGTCGATTCTAGAAAAAGAAATAATTTAAAAAAAATTATTATTTTGGTTGATATTGACATCACGATTAAAAAAAAAATTGTTCATTGATGTCAAAACAGCAGGGGCCCCATAATTGAACCCTGTGGAACACAAACAAAATGTATGCATTCAAAAGATTACATTATGAATTGTTTTTCAGATGATGAAGAATATATGCCTTGAAGTATAAAGTAGTGTAAACAAGTATTTACAACTACAAGTTCAACTTTGTTTTTGTATGTGCGTCGCCTTCTGAGAGTTGCGTTTTGACATGACACCCTCCCGCCCCGCCTTCAGCTTGGGTGACCCCTCCAACAGCAGCAGCAGCAGAGGCACATGTGCCCGGACTTTGGAAATATGTACAGTCTGCTGCATGGAGTGGAGGCGGCAACGAGCACAGAGGTTTTAATAAACAAGATAATGGCTACCATACGCCCCTGCCTCCCATCTCCTCGCTCCTTTCACCCTCGGCATTGCATGTTTCCTTGAAGAATTACACTCATTGTTTGGCACAAAGGAGTGAAAGACGGTGAGAGGACAAGAGGTAATCGGTGGAGGTATTAGACGGGATTGGGAGAACACTGCTGGGGATGGTGGAGGGGGTCGGGGGGGGTAACCTTCAGACTAACAATTAAGTGGCGTCGGGATGTTTCCAGTTGTTTCAAGTCAAAACTTGACCGTGCTCACTAACCGTTGTCTGTCCTTGCAGGACTTCACTCTACTTTTGCAGCCAACTAAGTCCACTTCCATGGAATCAGACAGCAATTCCAAGATTAAAGGCCTCACATAGTGCGGGAGGGGAGGGACACGTATGATTTCGTGGGGGAACACCGTCTGAGAAAATGATATGAATGGTCATAGGTCTTGGCGAAGAATATTTGCGCACTGTGAGCACACTCGCTTTTTGTTGTTAATTTGTTTTCGAGGTGACCAGCTTCAGGCTGTCAAGGAATATCAAAAGGGACACACTGAAGTCATTATTTTCCTGGTGGATGCCGTTCACCCGAGCTGCCCTTTTACTTGTTTATTTCCGTTTGCCAATTATCCAATTAGCCTCCAGATAGGAGCGCTTCAACTTTCCTTCATTGGCCTCATTTGTTTGGCTGATAAAAGGCAGCAAATCTCATCTAATCTGATCAAGTTTATCTCCTAACTAATTGAGTGATCACTCGCTAACCTCGTTCATTTTGATATAAAGTTTGGCGTGCTTCCATGCAACTTTGCAGTGTTACGTTTATTGCAATGTACATGGGAAAAAAATGCAGACGAGCTTTTACTAGACAATTCCAATCCAACAGTGGTTTAATTTTTGCTGTAGATCGGAATAAACGTGTCAAGTCAAGGCATTGTAATGTGCTTGTGTGCCTCCTACAGTAGTGAAGTGGAACAGCATCACCCTGCTGCACTCAGACAAGTATTTGCATCCGGGTGGTCCCTCTTGCACCTCTTGATCGGACAAATGGCTGCGCGTAGGGGAAAAACCGAGAGCGATTGAGCTGCCATGCCAGTCCATAAATGAGTCAGTGACATCTCAGGCAACAAAGTGAATCATGGCTGTGATCCATGCTGGCTGCTTGAAGTGTGTCCCAGAGTCGTGTCCCGCAAGGCCCCTTGGCCGCCGCCCGCCCCCGACTGTACCGCCGTCCTTCCCCTCTTGTTTCCACGCAACCTTTTCTTTTATTGAACTAATCCTCCTCTATTGTCATGCCTCCCCCCCTCTGTCTCTAAGCTCTCCAAGGCCGCTGCCCGGGCTGTTTTGTGCCAACTATTTCTGGCTCAAATGCTTTCGCTTGCATGCAGAAATGCAAATGGTGGCCAATCTCATTCTCTGCGTTTTTTTTGGGGCTTTTCAACTGCATCCCTCCCATGATCCTTTCCATTGTTTGCCTGGGTGATAATTTAGAGCAGACCTGTGCAAAATTATATCCTTGGTCTCTGACTGACCCTCTCAGTTTTTCGTAACATATACATTGCTTTTATTTTGGCGTGTACGTGTGTGCAGTACAAGCGAGCAAGCGCACCATCTTGACTTTTGTGTCTCATGTCTGGCCTACGGGCCTCCAGTTTGACACCTGTGGTTTCACGGCCATTGTTTTCCCAGCCAAAAGGAGGCTTGGGGATCCCCCACACCCCCTCCCAGTCCAGCTCTCCGTTTATTGAGTGTTTGCGCAGCCCCCTTGGCCAGACACTTTCGCTCTGGCAGGCCCGCGGCCGAAAGCTTGCCAGGCTGCGAGCGTGTCGCTCATCCTTGCCAGTCCGCCGCCGTCCGTAATTCAAAATGACAGCGTGATGAAAGCAGAGGTGTAGAGCGCTACGTGGGGCTGTGATGTGACGGGCTCTCCATGTTACCCACTTTGTCTCCGTGTGGTGTGGGGCTTGCGTGCGTGCCAATCCTGGGAGTTGCGCAATGACGGTTGGATCCGCAGACCTTAAAAGAAGTCCAAGTTCCAGGTTGGATCTGATTTTCAGATCAATGCGAATTTGGGTGAACATGTCTGTCATAACAGGTGACACGGAAATATGTCATGGACACATGCCCTGAAATTGATCAGGAAGTTTCCTTCTGAATGAGTGTGACTCATCGAGAGACAATCGAACGGCTGTCAGGAAACTGCGATTGGTTTACATTCAACCTTCATCCGCTGTAGCCAACCCGAGTGACATCATGCACGCCGTGATTGCGACATGCCAATTTTACCAAAGCGATGCTTTCTGTTCATTGCAAACAATAGTCACAAGTAGTTTGTATTTTTGCATTTTCTCGTGCTTTAGTCTCTTCTATGCAAGCCTGTGATTCCACTGTCCGTCAAACGAGAAGATTATTTCGCTCGATTGTAACTTTGCAATCGGCTAAAACTCGCGGGAGGGCGCCATCTCCGCTCGGAGTCATTACGTAAGGAGCGGCGAGGAGGCTATTAATTACCTGCTGATAGTTGAGCGTATTAGCCCGCGTGGCTAATGCAGCTGCCGTTTGACCGCCACTGAGCTCTCTAATGTGTCCGCGGGGAAAACCAGCTCTTCTAATTAATCCTGAGCTGACGGCCAAGCCAGGACATCCCCCAGGGAGGCATCAGTGGGGGTGCACAGAGGAGGGAGGAGAGGGCGATATGAGGCGCACCAGCACACTTATCCACAGATTAGACTCAACCCTCCTCACTTGGGACGATGAAATGCGACACCGCTGTTGTGGGGGAAAATACTCCCTCTATTACAGAGATTTGCTGAAATAAATCTTGGAAGACAAAATAACTCGTGCAGTTTATTTCAGTTTGTAAACAGGTCAGACAACAGACGTGAAGTCCGATATAGCGCGCGCTAAATTGCAAGGTCACTCATGCCATCGGATACAGCAAGCTGTTTGCCGCAGGCGTAAAAGTGTTGCACAATTCTTAAAGGATTCCTGAATGCCTCTTTTCAGTCTTGGTCCCACAGTTCTCCAAATTAGAGGTTTAGTGTGCTTGCTTCAGTCGACTGAAAACAAATATCAAGCATAGTTTGTTGAAACAGCAAAACGTACAACTAACGCATATCATTTCATCCAGCAAAAATACACAATCTTAATGCAGAGACACACAATGTGCAATGTCACACAGGTGTACAGAAATTAGCTTAAATGCTCTGGTCATTACTCTCTACTTTAACTCATGGAGTAGCAAAGCACACAACAATACTCAAAGTCAAATATTCTGCGTGCTATGTGGGAGCAGCGACTAATACTGAAGGCCTGCCCGATGTTCCGTCACAGGCAATGAGTGGATCTCCTGAAATCTGAAACGTGATCTTTTTTCAAAATGAATTATTTTTGTTTAACCACTTTAACTCAAAAGAAAAAGCCAATGCAGGGTGAGCTATTAAAACCGACACACAAAAAAAAAAAAAATGGAGCATATTTATGTCCTGTCGAATGCACTGAAAAGTTTGCGCGGTCTGAAAAGGTTGCCTGAATCTCATGCATGTTTGTCAATATAATTTGCCGGGCTATTGGACCCGGAGGAGGTTCCGGCGGGTCCCTTAAGGGTTGCGCCTCAAATGCCAACATCTGTCTGCCAGCGGCGGGAAAATGAGACGCGGCGGCAACACCTTGGCGTCGGCTATTCTCTGCTTGACAGAAGCCACAAGGTGCAACTTTGGAGATGAAAACAAGGCCCACTATGCAAATCCTCCAGAGTGCGTGGAGTCCTTTAACATTAATCAGATGAAACTCGCGCTGCTTGAATGCCTGATGTCATCTTCCGGCCATCTTTATTGGAACGTGGCATCGAATCGACTTGTCGGGCGAATGAGAGTAGCCGTCAAATGACAACGAAGTTATTTTGACTACGTGTTGGTTATATGAAAGAATGCTTGTACTGACACGATATAAGAGACAATGGTCATATTACGGGATGCCGAAATAGTTCCAAATGTAAAAACATACTTTAAGCGTAATAGAATAGCACGTGAAAAAAACTGAAAATGGAAAGAAAATATCAAGACCACCCCCAAGGACATTGTTGATTTAAAAACAAACCAAAAAAAATCTCCTGGCTAAGCTAAACATGTAAACCAACGTGACATATTTGTTTGCTCCATGAGACTCCCAGTACAGATCAAAGGCAGCTGGAGTAATTTTTTTTTTTAAAACGAATACATTTAGCACTTTATTTTATTTTTTTTTAAATCAACAACAATACATTTTTAATGCACGCGTCCTTTGAAGAACACCAGAATAGAACCACCAAAGCGCCGCTGTCACAAAGTGCACAATCGGCACATTTTGTCAAAACAGAGACGTTTATTTGCATTTTGTGTGTGTGTGTGTGTGTGTGTGTGTGTGTGTGTGTGTGTGTGTGTGTGTGTACGTTTGGATGTGTGTGTTATGTGCTGATATGTTGTTCCAGTCAAATAACATTTTATTACATTTTTTTTTTATTTGTTTGTGTGCCTGCAGAATTAGCCAATGGGGTGCTTGGTTTGAAATGTCACCATAGAGACGAGCTTCAGGCATCTTTCACTGAAGGTGAGCGACCAGCTTCATCTCTCTCTCTCTCTCTCTCTCTCTCTCTCTCTCCACACACACACACACACACACACACAAAAGTGCGCACAGGTTAGAGGACCTGACCAGTCGCTTTTGAAGGCATATGGAGTTCGGGATTTATGGATTCCCTGCAATATTAATGTCCAAAATGTCAGAGGAAAGCCGCGTTCAAAAAAGGGCGCAAGGGATTGTTGCGCGACACGTAGCAGAGCTCTGGGCTGTGTATAATGAATGAAGTGCGGGATCTCTCCCCCCGCTTGCATCCTGCTGGGCGTTCGAGTTGTCATTCCAGCTTGGGAATTCTGCCTGAAATATAATATAGCGACAGGCACAAAATTATTTGGAGTCAACAGTTCGTTGGTCAGTCAGATGAGTTTGTTGTGCGAGAAGCAGATTTTAGCATGAACAGCATCATGGACTCCTAATCTTTCTTTTGTCATGTCTAATGATTAAAAAGAAATTACAAAATAATTAAAAAGTGCAACTCAAACTATATATCAAATCGTTAAAAGTATATTCGGCATTGAGTCTGACTGTTAAATAAGACACCAATAAAGTGCGGTCGAAACTGTGATTATACGGGGTGCTTTTATTTTGAAGGCCTGTCTTTCGACAGGATGTGCCTGTACTATGACCGGGAGCATTGTTACCTTGAGTTGTTGTGAAATGCTCGTCTCGTGAAAACCAATGTGCCTTGTCTGTTGAAGTGTTTTGGATGCAACGGTACAAAATATTGCTGAACAAAATCGTCGAAAACCGAATCATCCTTTCAACCACTCCTGTGTGCTTGCTGTCTGAGAAACCGTTCAGAATCCTGCTTCGAGCCAAGCGGTTTTCACTTCCCAAAGCATCGCAGACAGAAATAGAAGACCGTTTTCAGTCAATTAAGGTGATGGATTCATTTCAGTCAGCAAGTGGGTCTGCCTCCTCGTCAAAGCACGAGATTGGCCACTAGTCGAGCTCGTAACAGACTAGTCCAGTCGACTAGTCAGTCCGCCGCCTCGGGTCGACCGGTGAGGACAAAGAGAAGAACGAGAAGCGCGGCGTGACGTTGAAAGTTAGTGCGCGTGATTTGTAATGAAGCAATTAATGCCGCCGATGAGTCCCAGTAGAGGAATTGTTGTTTATCCACCTCAAATGAAACCTCAACTTCGACCCCGACCACTCCGCCTCCATCCTCCCTGTAAATGAAGCAAAATTCAAACAAGGGCCGCTTGTTGGCGTCTCCATCGAGGACGTAAGCTCCTTATGACAAAATGCTTTGTTTGCTACCCCCCGCATCCCCACCCTTAGTCACAAATCATTAAGTGCTTGGCTGGGGTGTTGTAGCGCGGCGGATGGCGTGGAAAACGACGAGCCGCCGCCGTCCCTCCAGCGCGCGGGATTACGAGGCCGCGTGTTTGTGAGCTTGTGACTCTAATGGTCTGGTAA